GAAGAGTCATTTTAACAACCCTAATCATGTAGGCATAAGACATAAGACAATAAGAGTTTGAGCAAAATTTAAAATTTATTATTTATATTAAAACATCATTTGAATCTAATTTAATAATTTTTATTCTATTTTCTTAATCAGTATTTTAATTGATTATAAATCTTTGTAGCTTTGTAGTCAATTAGATTTTTTTAAAATACTACTTAATATATATATATAAACTTGATGAGTAGTATTTCGAGCCAAAACGAGCCGAACATGAACGAACACATCTTAGTTCGTGTTCGGCTCGTTAACTTATCGAACAAAATTAACGAGCCGAACACGAGCTTCTTAACGAGCCGAACACGAGCTGTTCGCGAACAACGAGCCGTTTTGACAGTTATTTTGAGTCGCATGAAAAACACGAGCTTCAACAGAAATTTAAAGAGTTTGGTGACTAATCTTATACTTTTATAGGCTCTATGACTAAAATAACCCCATGCAAACAATCAACATTCTACTCCTCCATCTTCTAACTGAAAATCAATATTCCTTCATGTTTATAAGACACTTCAAGGCCTTCAGTTAATACTATGATGAGTAAGAGAATCTACATACAGCTCTCTTTTGAAAATTTTCTACCACATAGAAGGCACATAAACCTGCTCTTTCAGATTCTGTGTAGCACTTTCAGTAGGAAACCCTCTCAAAGCTCCAATAGTCCACTGTGAAATAATCCCAGCAGCAACAGCAAACCTGAGTTGCCTCTCCAAAAAGTCCTGATCCTCATACATCTCCGGATGTACTGCGAGCTTTCTCATAATTGCAGCCACAAGAGCATCGCCGGAGCCAGTGCGGTCACATGTGAAGGGAGTAATGAGCACATCTTCAGTCCCAACAACGGCGCCATCAAACTTTGGAGTGTAGTAATGGATTCGAAGTGTTCCGTCGGTAACGAATAAGATCTTAATTCGGTTGTGCCAGATGGGAGCAATCTCCTCAGGAGTATAGTGGTAGTAATCACGAATCTTCCTGGTCTGCTCGTACGACTCCGAGTAGTATTGGGGCCGATAGTTTCTCTTCTTCTCGTAGTACTCTTCATCCAAGAGAAACTCTAGTTCCTGCCTTGATACTTCAATGAGATCGGACTCTTCCCACGCTCTCTTGATCAGTTCTTTAGTTTCATCACGAGATTTCCAGAGGGCAAGTGGGAGGTTTAGATCGAAGAATATTCTTCCATTGAACTTCCTTGACCATTTAATCGCTTTAAAAAGAGCAGGTTGCATTGCGGGGGATAAGAGAATCTGGGAATTGAAATGAAGGATCCTAGCCTGCGACAAAAGTCTTACTTGTATCAATCATCTTTTATTTGTAGTCGGCTCAAATGTTGAGGACAATGCAATTCAAAAAAATGTAATATGCATTTTCAATCAGGGGCGGAATCAAAATTTTATGAAAAAAAGGTGGCAAAACAAAACAAAAAAAAGAAAAAAGAGGGGGAAATATTTAAGTTTTAAATTTTTCTCTCTTAAAATTTTCCAAAACTATTATAAGCGTGATTATTAAATTTAAAATATAGTTAATATTAAATTATTATTAAGAATTTAAGTTTAGAATAGGGGCAAAAAAAATTAGAGTGTTTGACTTCATCGGGGATTTACGTTAAATAGGATTTAGAAAATCCGGATTTATCAAATCTATTTAGACACAGGGAAGCTTCGAAGCCACTAATCGTAAACTTGCCTGCAACTCGGATTTAATAAATCCGGATTTATATGACGAAGAAGACGGAACGCGGGAAAAATCAAGCATAGCATGAGAAAAATCAGTTCAACGGAGCATTGGATTTAAAATTGAGTTCCTCAGTGTTTGGCTGGATTTAAGCTACATCCGTTGTTAAATTCACCTATAAATAGGCTATTGAGTGTTGGATATAAAATTCAGTTCATTGGCATTTGGCTGGATTTAAGCTAAATCCATTGTTAAATTCGCCTATTAATAGGCTATCAAACACCGTCTTAGTGTATTATGTGACATTAAAAAGTTTAGTAAAAATCTAGAAGTGTTACACGCAAAAACACTCTTTTTCTTATTTGAAGTGTATTACTTCAAAGTATATTCAATAATTACAAGGCATAACATCAATTTTAGACTGTAACATTGCAAGGCTAGTAGCATATTACATTAAGGCGGTGATAAAAGTGAATCAAATAACTCTTTATTTAGGCCTCACATAAGTCATAGTGCATAAACCAAGGCATGAAGAGTAAATGTGATTGTGACATCATTAACCTAATTCTTTGAATGAATTTGATTGAGTTGAGTGGCTACCAACAAAATGTGATGTTAAGTGAGATAAAGTAGATGACTAAGTGATTGATGAAGAAGACTTGACATGGAGAAGTTTTTCAAGGGCTAAAAATGTCTATGAAATAAATTATATTATTTGATAAAAATATAAAAGAAAAGAAACCAGACCATAATATAAGCAAAGATCACTTGAGATTATTGAGGGTGATAAAGAATATTAAGTTGTAGGAAATGCTTTAAGATGATAGGGAATATGAGTAAGACTACTCTAGTTTTTTAATATAAATATGAAAATGAGATTTATCATTAATATAATAGCTAAAGTTTTAAGTTTCATACTTTCTATAAGATAGTCATTTTTGTTCTTTAAGAAAAACTTGGCCCTCACTGTTGTATTGCTACAAGGATAAAAGTCTAATTTTCCAATCTAACTGTTTTCATTGCTATCAATAACAGAATTAGATTTTAAATAGAGAGGAAACAAGAAAATACTTTAAACTCATGAGATGAAGTCTCAATGATACACATACTTTCTAGACGAAGCCAAGGAAAATATTGCATTATATGTAGCTACAAAGGGGTTTATTCCAATCCTAGGGGGGTAAGTAAGGGCAAGGGCAAAGGCCACCTTAAGACAAATCTTTGCGCTCAAAAAAGGAGGAAAAATTACCTTGCGATTGACGAATCCGTCTCCTTTCTCGCCAACGGAACTAGCTTCTACCATGCTCTCAAATGAAGCCTAAATCGGCCAATAGTTGCTATCATACATTTATTTGTCAATCTAACTATCTTTTAATAACTTTCATGCAGTCAAGCAACACTATGTTCTAATTATGTGGCAATTTTCTTTGATATCTATATTACTTGTGATATTGTCTCTTATGTGCTTTATAAAAAAACAACACTCGCTATGACATGCTATGATTCATAGGAAATCTTGCACAATGCTTTAAATGGAAGTAAAAGATCGCAACTAAAGCTGCTGATTATTAAAACTGAAAAGGTTTCTCTTTAAATTCAACCAAACAAAAAGGAAGACATACCACTAAATTCCTATATATTGACATATCTAACACCTAAACTTCAATTTTTTACATGATTGTCTCCTTAGGTATGCATAAAAAGGGGCATTTTACATCTTAGAAGTTAAAATGGTGTCATATTTTTTATATGATATGAAAGATTTGGTTGATGTAAATGTAAAAAGTAAAGTTTAAATGTTAGATATATAAATTCATAGAAATTGGGTGATAGGTATGTAAATGCATCAAAAAAAAAAAAAAAAAGATCTTGCATTTCTCATGAATCAAGGTTCAACTTTTCCCTGGTTAGAACAAAAACATCAACCATAAAATTAAGTAAGGGTGATACAACATAATCATACTTAATCATTATAGGCAAATTTTATTAGATTTACTCGATTTTTATTCAAAACAATTGAGGAACTCTTGTCATTCTAATCCACATCAAAATAACCAAAAAATCAGCATAATCGGTTCAATACCTCTTTCAGGACGGCAACATCAATCTCAGAACTCAAGAAGGAATCCTCTGCGCAAGCCTTAACTGTCTCCGCCACCATCCTCCGGCGATCGCCATCATCCCGGAACCCTAACCTCATATACGAAACCGCAGTCCTTACGGCCGGATCGATCTTCATCGCGCGAGTCTGAACCTTCTCCGTGTTCATCTTGTACACCAGATCGTTCCCGAAATCATCATCTCCAACCTTCCCCATGAAGGCGGCTCGGCCTCCCAATCGAACGTGTGAGATGGCGACATTCGATGGCGGTCCACCTGGAGCCCTAACGAACTCCGGCGGATTCCATTGTAAACCTTTCCACGACGAGTATTGATCCGGATGCATTTGCCGCTCGGAGACCCGAACGGTAGGCACGAATTCCCTCTGCGCCGCACCGAAACAGCAAACCAGTGGAGGAGATTCGTAGGGGAAGTCTATTTCGTCGTCGAAGTCCTCTTCTTCCTCCTCCGCTTCATTCCCCTTTGCTTCAACGCCGGCATCCACGACCTTGGGTTCTTCCGAAGCTGAATCCTTTTTCATGGAAGCGCGTTTTTTCTTCACGGGGGTTGAGGATGGCGTCTTCTTTCGAGCTCGTCGAGTGCGTTTGGGGAGCTCCGGAGCTTCGTTTGCGCCATTGGTGCTAGCATTGAGGGCCTTTTGGCTACAGGCTAAAACGGAGGAGAAGAAGGGTTTCCATTGTGGGACAGTTGAAGGAAGGGGAGAGCTGAAGAAGAACGGTGGAGCGGTATATGGACTGTTGAAGATGAGTGCAACCATGACCGAGTGCACTGCAGCGCTTCTAAAAGCTTTGGACAACTACGACACGGAGTAACCAGCTATATGAAACAATGAAAAGCTTCGGACAACTATGTGAGCCAAACAAAAATGTATCAAACGAGTGAAGTATAATCATAAGAAAATAAATGTCAATGGCCCCTTTTCTTATGGGATGGCTTCTCCTATTTATAGCCCAGGGGCGGTCACGCCAAATGGGGGTTATATAAATTGTCACACGATAAGAAGTTCTTACACCACGAATCATCGTGAACTACGAGGACACATCTGTGGGTGTGGAAAATACTATCATAATGATAAGAAGCAAGTTGATGAAAATCTTTTTTTTTTCTAAGTTGATGCAAATCAAGGCTTAGTTGAGTTGAGTCAAATTGACGAAGGTTGTCAAGCTACCAACTTTTATCGACTCATCTTCTTTTTGAATGTGCTCCGAATATTCTTATTTTTCTATGTGTTGGCATTTATTGACGCACACTTGAAATTTACATTCACATTTATCACACATTGGTGTTATTAACCTATACATATAGAGATGTCTTTCACTTTAACAAAGGTAAGCAAAAAATTATTATTTTTACTAGATATTAAAGTTTTGAGTGCTATGCAGAATACCAAATATTAACTATTAAACATGTGAATACATGTGACTTGTGTGGTGAGTATGATAATCAAAATGTAGACAATATTGCTCAAAACAAGGATGCCTTCACGTCATGTGTGGATCTAAGTTTTGCCTCTGATGTTAAGGCGAATTGATGCAAATCAAGGCCTTGTCCAACTAGGGCGAATTGGCGAAGGTTGTCGGGCTGCCGATTTCTATTGACTAGTGTTCTATTAGAATGTGCCCAGAAAATTCTTTTTTCTATTACGTGCTTGAGATAGTCTTATGCTTCGTCGGTCCGCTAACATTTATTGATTTGCACCTAAAATTTATATTTACATTTTTTAACGCATTGGTGTCATTAACCTAAGCATGAAAAGACGTATTTCACTTTAAAAAGGTAAGAAAAAAATTATATTTCTTATGTGATATTAAATATTTGAGTGTTATGCATATAAATATGAAATATTAACTATTAAATATGTCAATGCATATGAATTTGCGTGGTGAGTATGATAATTTAAACGCAGACAGTATTGCTCACAACAATGCTTTCTCAACATTAGAGGCGGACCAAGATATTGCTATCTCCCGCCCCCACACCACCCCGCCCCACCACTCATTTAGTTTTTTGCTTATATAGGAGCGAAATTTGGTTTTTTCTCTCTCCTGAAATAACACTTTACTCTTTGTTGTTCTAGTCTGTCTCACGTTGGATCTAGGATGACAGTTTACCCCTCCTAAAAAAATAGGTTAGTTTGCATTACAAAACAAATTAAATTTTATTTTTAACATAAATCTATGGTGAATGTTTGTTTTTAAGCTACATTTCTATAAAATAATATGTTCCTCCAAATTAATAGTCATTTTTTTGTTGTCTTTAATTTTATCATTCTTTCTCATGATTGGTAGCATTGTTATAGATTCCAATCAAATATACACATAAGTTCATAATAATATAAAGTCCGATCAACCTTAAGCATTATTTGGCATGCTTGATTGAGATGGTCCTTACCATTGCTCTAATGATGATTTCACTCCACAATGATTCCATTTATGTGTTTCTTTGTTTTTGTATTATTGCTTTGCATAAAGCTTTCTATTATCCTCTTCTTTTACTTCCCTCTAGGCCTCAACATTATTATTATTTATACTAATTTGCATTCCATCATCGATTATCATTATTTTTGGGTATGGTGATCTTAAATTTTTATAGACCATTACAAATCTACGTTGGTAACATCAATATTAATATAATGTGATATATCATCAAAAATCCTTCAAAACAAGTGTTATTTTTGATGTGATGTTTACGAAGTCTGATGCTTTTTGATCTTAAAGATTGACTCGAATTCATCTCCTGTGACAAAGTGACAATAAATTTTTTTTGAGAAATTACTCCCATTAAATTCATAGAAAATGCATTTAAAACAATTTGTGAGGAAACTCAGCTTCACAAAATATGTAATGTATACTTTTGACATTACTTGCATCTAAAAAGCCAGAAAAATTAAGAATTAAGTTATTCACAAATTAAAGTTAGGACCATTCAAAACTTTAAATTTTGTAAATTTATTACCATACCAAATTTATTAATAAGATAAATGCAATAATATCAAAAGATATGGTTCAAGTTAGAATAAGCTCAAATCAAACATTTGAAGTGTTGTAAAAAAATTTAAGATATCCAAAGCTTACATCCTATGACATAATTGAACTTCTCAACAAAATGAGTCTAATAAATTCAATATTATGTAATTTTGAGATAATTACATCATTTAAGTGATGAATTAATGAGCATGCTCTAAATTAAGGGAATTAACAAGAGTCGTATGTCAGCTTGTTTTAAGGATTCAAAAAAAATAATTTAAATTTTACTAAAAAAATTATTAATAAAACCTTGTTATCAACATGAACATAGTTGAAATTAAAAAAGTTTAAATAAATGAAGAACTTTAGAGCTTTATAAGATGTTTAAAGATACCACCACTAGCGATTGTCATGGTCTATTAACATCACACAAACACTATTATTCCGCCATCATCATCCATCATTATGGTTCAACTATTGTTGTTCGAAGACTATCACACAACCATCAACCATATTTTGGGTATGCTTAACAATTTAAAAGTAATAATATAAATTTTTCTCAAATTTTAAATAAAATTAAGAGATTTTTAATTCATATTTGACTTTTTACTTTTTTTAATGTGATTTTTAGCATATATTTCATATTTTCAAGTGAAATTTTAATTCACGTGAAATTATTATTATGCTCCCTGCATTAATAAGGCCAAGGTGTGCATCCTTAAAACTTTATTCACCCTTCAAGTGTATTTAACTTTCCTTGAACTTATTTGAGATTTTTTTTTGTATTTGAAATATTTGATTATGAAGAATACCTTAAATGCTATTAAAAATTCGAGGTAACATAAGCATGTGATTTTATAAAAATTTTTGTAATTACTTGCTTTTTTAAAAACCTTAAGTTGAATATTGAATTTGTAGTATAGAAAGTCTTATTTATTATTATTATTATTAAATAAGTTAATTAACAAAAAATATATTTCATGCCTTTAAGATGTCATTCATGTATGAAGTTTACTTTAACTTCCAGGTTAACTACTCCTTCAAATTAAGAATTTTGATTTTCAAAACATTATCTTTTTTTTTTCAAAAATTAAAATATAAATTATTCAAAATATGAATTTATTTGATTTAGCTCTGATTACTCACAAAACCAATCTTTGAGGAATAATGAACGTGTTGTCTGTATTTTGTACTTGACATAGCACTTGACATTGCATTTAGGTGCATGCACGTCATCAATAAACTTCACTTATGATTCTAAAGTTGATGATTTCAACTTAATAACCAAATATATTTTAGCAACTATTATTATGATCCGAGCAAATACTATTATAACCAAATATTATTATGATCCGAGCAAATATTATTATAACCAAGTTTATTCTGAAGTCAAAGAGGTTCCGTTTTGACCTCAACTTGGAGGAACCTCTGAGTTTGGTTGAATTGTTGGATATGACCAACAAGTATGTTAATGCTTATGAGAAAGCCATCAGATGACTGGCCCCAAAAAAAGGCCCCCACAGAATAGTATCTGGAGATTGAAGAAGATCTTGCCTGCAACAACAATGGAGCCAACCGTAATAATGGCCATAGAGATTAGGAGAGGAGCCATGATCAACGATCAGCTCAATATCAGGAAACACCTACCTAACCTTACAAATGACGGTAACAGAGCCCCGGAGGCCCTCGGGCTACTCACTTGAGAGTATCAATGGCTGAGATAATAGGCATTGTCTAGGATAAAGAGTACTTTAGGAAAACTCCACCGATGAGAGCCAAAGCTTTTCTTTGAGATACTAAAAAGAACTGTAAGTATCATAGGGATCACGACCACGACACGGAGGAGTGTAGACATCTCTGGAACCGGAAAGGCGTTGATACGTACAAATATCATCCAAATAGCTAGGGTGATACTCATTATCTTCAGAGGAGTCAAATCCTTCTGTCAAACCAACAAAAGAGGTATCAAATAAGGGAACTCTATGTTGTTATATTTGCATCGAAGAGAAAATCACCTTCCCATTTTCTTCACGGACGATGACTTGCTCCCAAAGGAGCACCCGTACAATGATTTCATCATTGTCACACAATGATTATCAAATATCAGGTGGGGAGCATCCTGATTGACACAGGGAATTTTGTGAACGTGTTATTCAAGTTTCTGTTTGACAAACTGAGTCGGTTAGTCAACCGGCTAGCGGTGTTGACCAGTTCTTTGTACAGTTTTTTGGGAGAATTGAAGGAGGAACTTGGAGTAGTAAGTCTTACAATCACCTAAAGAGAAGGTGAAAAACATTTCACATCCACATAGAATTTCCTTGTGGTAGATTCTCCACTGAACTGTAATACTATCTTTGGCCGCCCACTTCTAAACACATTCAGAGTAGTAGTCTCAGCATATGACATGGCAGTAATGTTTCCTGAAGATGAAGAAATCATCATTATTTGGGAAAACTTAAAGCAATTATTAGTTTATTATCTTCGAGCAGTCAACAGTTTTGAACATGATCCATTAGACATCTAGAACCAAAGAGGAGGGGGTCTCGAATCCAATGAGATCAACATGTAGATCCTTATCATCAACAAAGAACTAGGTAAATATTTCTTAATAAGTGAGGTCTTTTATGTAGAATAGAAAAACTAGTTGATCCATATAGCATGTTGATCCCGATTTTTTATATATATAGATGTAAAATGCGATGTATGCAATTATATGATTAATTTCCTTAATAGTTATAATCCAAAGCAAAATCTAGCAAAAACTTAATCCAAAGCAAAATCTAGATAAATCTTTCGCTATGAAGCAAATAAGAATGCAATTATAATATTTTAATATGTGATACTACGCAAGTATATGTATCGTTATCAAGTAATATAAAACTTTCTGATTAAGTCCTGAATATTGAACTCACAGGGAGAATTAGATTTAGATAACAAA